TTGGAGATTTCATGCGGTGCCTGTGATCGCCAACGACTGCGACACTGCCACGCTTCTCGAGTTGGAGAGGAAACTTCTCATGTTCACTGCAATCTCTTCTTCGTGGTGGCGCATGGTGTGCGAATCCGCTGACAATGGGAAAACGTGGGCAGAGGCCACTGGGCCACTCTTGCATCTGTTGAGCGAATCAAATGCTTTTTTCTGCGTTAAATGGTCGTTTCGACCTTGTCACTACAACCATTGGGGAGAAGACTGTACTACTGTGCACCCAAGTGGCATTCATTCGTAATACACAACAAAGCGACAACAAACTTAGCGATGGTCGCAGCGCAATTTACCTATGGCTCTCTGATGGGGCTTGGGTCTTTGACGTTGAGCAAATATCTGCTGATAATGCGGGATACTCCTTCAGCACGCTGTTGCACGCAAAAGATGTTTTTTTTTTTGCTCTCTACTCGCAGAAAGGGGAGCATGGAGGGCTAGACAGTCTTGTTTTTGTCCACCTGAAAGATCAGCTGCAACGCATCAAGTCCGTGCTTACTTAATGGAAAGAGATGGATGACTGGGTCGCAACGCTTTGCGGCTCCACCACCACCACCACCACTGCAACGAAGGGCGGCGCAGAAGGTGCTGGCTGTGTCGGTCCTCTGCCAACGGCCGGGCCGATTGTTTTTTTTTGTCTAACAATGCCAGCGATACTGGAATGACGAGTGCCTCGGGGTGGGTGCCACGGTGTCTACGTGGACGACGACGAAGGTTGAGAATGGCTTCCGGTTGGCAGGGCACGGCACACGGATTGTGTGGCCAGTGGTCAGGCAGGAAGGTAATGCAGTGCACAGTTATGTGGGTGAGGAGCTGACGCGTATGGCGACGGTGATCATCAGCAAAGTTTCAGAGTGCGTCACTTCGTTGCTGGGCGTGATTATGATGGGTCTCACCGGAGATCGTCTGGGGCTGTGGTACGACGAGCCTAAGCACTGGAAGACGAGGCGTGGGGAGGAAGAGAATGCATCAGCAGTTACGTGGGAGGTGGGGACGGCGTACCGAGTGGCGCTCACGTTGCAGAAAGGCGGCTGCTCGGCGTACGTCGACGGGCAGCTTGTGGGGAGTTTGGGGGATCAAAGCGTATCTCCTTTGGAAGCTCCATTCCTCTGGAGTTGGTCTTGGGCGGCCTCCGCTGGGAATGTCATCTGAAATGATCTCAGACATCTACTTTGAGGGTTACGGGGACGGCACCGAGGAAGAAGCAGAAGAGCCACGTGACCGTGACGAACGCCTTGTTGTACAATTGCTGCTTAAACGGCAGTTAGATTGAGGCACAGATGAGGAGGAAAGAGAGCGGGACGGTGACAACTCCGAGCAACGCCTCCGTCTCACTCGCCAGAAGGGTTTGGGAGGCAGCGTCAAAGGAGGTTGGTGGCGGTGACTGACAGTTCTGTGCGTGGGCGTCTGTCTGGAATGCTGTTGCCGCTGCTTCTGCTGCTTGCAATGTGGGGCTTCTTCGCGCTTTGCTGACCAGCGACGTCGGGGGCTGCGCCACGCAGAGGGAAAACATGTGCGCCCCTAAACTAATTGTGAATCCGTTGCGGAATTGTCTTGCTTTTCGCCCCGGTCATGGGATGGTTCCTCCGCTGGGCTGAGCACCAGGAGCATTTTTTATTATTATTTTTTTTTCCTTTTTGTTAATGTTTTTTATGTTTTTTTTCTTGCTTTGCCCACTTGCTGCAGGGAGGGGCGGGCGCCTTTTATGGCTGTCGGCGCCTCACGCCCACACACGAAGAAGCTGGTGGGCGGGACGACAACACGCTGAGGTGCCCGCAATGAGAGATGAACGATGCGTGGACATGAGGAGGCCCAGTTGGGACGGAACCAATATATCTTTTTAGTTTTGTAAAGTTTGCGGGGTCAATGGCCAGATCCTGCAGATTATGTTTATTGTTTGTGCCGGGAACGGCCCCAGTTGGAAATATTTTTCTGTTTCAATTTGTTGCAGTGAAGGTGGCGCAAAGGGCAGAGTTGTTGAGACGTACGCTTACGGGGAGACCGTCCAACAGTGATGACTGCCACACAGACATTTTGCTTAGGGGCAGGGCAGTGCGGCACCGACGCGTGTTCATTTGATTTTTGCCCGGCATCTGTGCCAGACTTGGCGTCCCACACAGAGGGCGTTTTCATCGTGGAGGGGGATAATTCCATTTCTTTGATTTTGATTGGGTCACCGCACGGGGTCTACTGTGTTTCGGGGTTGAATGATTTCCTTCGCGGTGTTGTCGGAGCTCGGAGTATCCTCGGGGACTTTTTTGCTGTGGCTACGGCAGCCCTCCGCGCGGGATGGGCGGCACACGAGGAGCGTGAGTCGGCGTTGCATCACCCGCACAATTGCGCCGGGGCTTGGCTGAACGGTCAACGAATTCAGCTGCAGTGCGCCGCCAGCTGCCTCGTATTCATGAAGTGAGCAGCCAACGCACGGAGAGCCCAGCCCGGTGAGAGGGAGGTGCAGGTTCGGAGTCTGCCGGACCAAAGGGACCTTGTCGCAGCCCATGCCACCGCAGACCTCTTCCCACAGAGGTCTCCAGCAGGCCACAGCTGCAGCCGATTGATGCATGTGTGTTCCTCTGCGGGAGGGACCAGGCTGATAATAATAGTGGTGGTGGTGCATGTACCCGCAATTCAGGAATGGTTGCAGGAGCCCAGGGAACCCAGGCCGCGGGCGGCAACACCGAGAATCCGTCCTGAAGTGTGGATTTCCGAAGCTTTGACGGCGCCATGCGGTGCCCGATGAATCCCTCGCCTGCCCAGCTGCTGAACGCGTTCGGAGTTGTTGCTCCCACACCAGCTACTCCGGGTATTGCTACATTAATGGCGTGGAAAAGCTTTTCCACATGGGCTTGTGCTCTTCAATTGGAGGGGGTGGCGGCGCATGTCGCGGGGTTGGGCAGAAGACGTTGTGCCCAACTCCGAATTCAGCGGGTGGTAAGGAAGGCTTTTGGGCTTGCGGGTCCAGGACACCCGGGATGCTGTGGACGAACCCCAGCACCGGGAGGAGGACCCAGTTTAGCAGACAGCATAGAAGGAGAGGGATAGGGAGATTGAGAGGTGAAAGGCTCCGCCACCAACTCCAACACGGTGGTGCGGATGCGGTGGGATCGGGCACCATGGCGGGACTTTTTGTGTGAGCATTTGCGCTGCACTCTCGTGGGCCTGTGGCGGTAGTTGTGGGGAGCCCTCTCAAACACGTCCAACAGCGATCCCCACAGAGCGGCGAGGTGTGTGTCGGCGGCGGCGTGGGGCACTCATGCGGGTGCTGCGGAAGGGCAGTGCACATGCGCGTGCTTTATTGGGGGAGGGGCGGCTGGCGTCGGTAAAATTTTGCGGCAACTGTGGAGAAATGCAGCGTAGGGCTGCGTGGCGCCCGACGACAGTTCGGCGGAGAGGCCATTGCGGGGTTGCGGAACAAACAACGTGGAAGGCGGAGTGGGAGCTGCCGGTGCTTTCACTTTGTCAGTGTGCTGTGGAAGAGAAAGGGCCCTTGGAGCTTGCTGTGGTTTGCCGCTTGCTGCTCTGGGCTGTCGCTAAGGCATACGCTGAGGAACGCGCAGAACCTTTTTTGC